CTGCTTCCCTTTGGCATACCTTTTCCAGGTTAAAATTTCAGTATCAGGCAGATGTCAGTAGATGTCACTCTTCTGGAAAACCTTCCCAGGCTCCCCTGGGTGGAAAATTCCCTCCCCTTAAGGGTCGCCAAAGACTCTCCTTGCCTTTGTTATAGTATCCATAATACTGGGATATTATTTAAGTAAATATGTATTTCTCCCATTTGAATTTGAGCTCTCCAAGAACCAAGATTGGGCTTCATTCCCCTGGACAGACATCCATCCAGTCCCGTGGCTTGTGTTGTGATAGCACTCATAAATATTTGTAGAGGTGAAAGAACTTGAATAACAGTTACCACGAATGACTGTTCTTTTTCTTCTGGAGAGAGCACAGGCAGGGGCATCTTTGACAACTTCTACCCTTTTCTAGCCTCGGTTCAGGGTGGCACCAAAGGAGTCTCCCCCAAAAATTTTCCTTCAGAATCACCAAGACTAAGATGGCTTTCTGAAAACCAATTAGCAAAACTCTGAACTTAAGAGAATCAAGGAGACCAGGAAGAGACCAGGACAAAAAGCTCAGCAAGGTCCTAGCTAACTTTGGTGGGGACAGAGCCATACCCGGGCTTGGCAACCTTCTCTCTGCATGCTGCAGGAATGGAATGGAAAGTCTGCTCTCAGTTGGCATTATTATTTTTATCTCTCTTGACTCACTGAAGTGCTCTGGCAGAACAGCGAGAGGCCTAAATGGAAACTTTTTGAGCCTTGAACAAACTTAAATGTTATAGTCCCAATCCAGCAAGAAGACCACTGGGGAAGCTGCCATTTAACATCGTGTCCTGGCATCCATTTCCACCAGCAGAGCAGCCATTGTTCAAGCCCCACAAGCCTTCTCAGCGTGGCCTCTGCCCCTTGTATCGTCCCGTGCTGTCATGACAACCGCACTGCAGTGTGTTTCTCGCACATCCTCCAGACCAGGCAAAGATTCAACCCCTCTCCGGGCTGGCCGAGAATTGACTTCCCAAAATGATTTGAACAAAATTATAAATATTCTCCTTTGATAAGGCTTAGAAAGTTTTACAACTCATTGTGTTGGCAAGCTTGCGTGGATATAGGCACATGCGCCGGGGTGGGGGTACAGAGTGGAACAGCTTCAGAGTAGGCAGTGTATCTATCAAAGTTAAACATACACTTCACTGGACCCCGTGAGTTCTGCAGTAGTAAGAGTTAGCACCTGTGGTGCATTTACACATGCTGGTGCTGCTTCCAACACCAGACAGTGGTTTCTTTTTGTTTGTTTGTTTGAGTCAGGGTCTTACTCTTGCTCCTTGCTATGTTAACTAAGTTGGTCGTGAACTCCTGGGCTCAAGCAATCCTCCTGCCTCAGCCTCCCAAAGTGGTGGGATTACAGATGTGAGCCACCATGCCCAACCTCCAGACAGATATTAATTTGCTTAGTCATCACAAAAACACTCTGAGGTCGATGGTATCAGAATCCTTGTTTTATAGATAAGAAAGCTGAAGCAAAGAGACATTAAGAACCAAGGTGTCTGGTTCAGGGTGAGCTTGCTTAACTACTATATTCTGCTATAGTTCTATCCATTGAAGCATTATCCCTGATAGCAAAAAATTAAGATCAATCGAATGTCCATCATAAGGGAAAGTTTAAATCTATTATGTTTTTTCTGTACGAGGGAGAACAAGACAGTATTTTTGCTTTTTTTTAAATGAAGTTAATATGGAAGTGCACTGATATGTTACAATCTCCAAGCTAAGAAAATATAAATTAAACAAAGCAGAATGCAAGAGAGTAGGTTGTTATTTATGGGAAAAAATATGTATAATTATGTCTGTGTATGCACAGTGTAGTGATGAAAGAATATACAAGAAGAGATAAAACAAACAAGTAGTTTTTCCTGGGATGGGGAACTCAGAAGAAGGGGGATACTTTTCACTGTTTACCTTTATCTACCTTTTTAGTTCTGTACCATATACATGGATTGCTTATTTGAAAAGAGAACTTAACCTGAAACAACAAACAATACTCACAGAATGCCTAAAAAAAACAGCACCAAAAGTTTAATGCTAATACAAAATGCCTACATCATTTTAAAGCTATTTATTTGTGCATATCTCTCCCTCTAGCATTCAGCTCCAAAGCTGTACATCCTAGATGTTCCACGCATAACTGTGGAATGAATAAATAACATGCATGTTGAGTGGAATCTAATGGAACTGATATTTGTTGAGGCTCCTCCGGCAACTCTACGCAGAAGAAGTCTGACTCTTCCTTCTAGAAACCAAGCCCAGTGAGGGGCAGTATTCTAGACTAAGAAGGGTTGGATGAAGGCTGGGTTTCATGGTGGACAAACTTGCGATTCTCAACATGCACTTGTATTCTGGACTTACCTAGGACTTGTTTTTTTTTTTTTTAGCTAGAGCAGTGGTTCTCAACTAGGGATAACTGTGCCTCCCAGGAGACATTTGGCTATGTCCAGAGACATTTTTGGTTGGGACATTTTGGTTGGGGGTGTCACTAATGGCATTGTTGAGTAGAGACATCCTGCAGTGCTCAGCACAGCACCCACACAACAAAGAACTATCCAACTCCAAACTCAAGTGCTGAAGCTGAGAACCCTTGAGCTTTGGGGACAGCACTGGCTCTTGGACAACATGACCATGACTGGTAGACCCTTTGTCATAAGCCCTGGAACATACCTAGAACTTCCGTGTCTGTATTTCCTTCTAAAAATAGAGCCTGTTGTATGATCTTCCTGAACTGCATTTTAAATTTAGTTTCCAGCCTATCAACCTTCTTTTCTTTTTTTCCCTGTCAGCAGGTAATGTGTCAAGATTGTAACAAAGTTTAAGAAAGGCACATCTCACATATGAGCATGAAAACCCAATCACCACACTTATGAACTACAAAAGAATCTCAACCTTATTTTAAATTTAATCTGATCAAGGAGGATATCAGGCAATTATGATCCATCTCCCTGAGAAATACCTGAATATAGGGGGGGAGGGGAACCTTTTTGGGAAACCCCACAGGGTGTTGGTGAAAACTTCAGCTGTCCCTGGGGCCAAAAGTTCTCCTCTGGACCGCTAGCTTATGAGGCTGGTTCTTGAGAAATGCAGGGAGAATGAAAATAACTGCATGTTTCTGAGGCAGAAATCTTCCAAAAGGATGGAGCCAGCCTCCCTGACCAGGAAGAAGCCAGCCCTGTGGAGGAAGGTCCCTCTGCTCCTTCAGGCCTTCAGGCTTCTCCTCCAGGAGGATCACCCATGGGGATAACTGGGCTGCTCAAGGATTCGTCCCCAGTCTATGTGTCAGAGGAGGAAACTTAGTGAGTCATGGCTGCTCTCCTTAAGCCTTTAACAGCTGGGACCTGTTTTACCTGGAAGGTAGTCTGGTCACGTGCTACTTTTACAGTGAGCGTGGGGGATCAGAGCCACAGAGTCGGTGGTTCCATTCTGGGCTTGGCTGCTTACCTACATGTGACAGTGGACAAGTCACCTAACTGTTCTGTTCAGCTTTCTCCTCTGCAGAATGGGGACCTTACAAGGGTTATTGAAAACTGCAATGAAGTCAAAGACAGGAACCAGTGCTCTACAACCGACCAGTTCAAGCCCAAATGTTGGTCATTATTCAAATCCATATTCACTCAATTTGGGGCTCAATTTTACCCTGGAATATGTGGTTAAGTATGGGTCACCCCAGGAGGGCATGACATGGGGGCAGGGGCAGGACCACGAACCTTGTCCTGGAAGACTGGGGTTAAGGGAGGGAAACTGCAGTTCCTGAGGACACTCAGGTGCCCAGAAATGGGTGAACATGAGACGGATGAGGCTGGTGTCGTACGATTCAGACTCAGTTATGTGGCATTTCCCCCACTGGAGTCTGAAGTGAACTGAAAACTGGGACAACGATAAAATACGTAAAATTTAAGGCAGTGGGTCTTTTATGGCTCCTGATGCCGAAACAAGAATCAAGAGGGTTATTCAGCCTAGGGTCCCCAAACACACATTTCCTGAGGATTATTTATAATTCTGACATTGTGCAGTGAATATTAACTGTGTGGCTATGTTGTGGATTAAGTTGTGCCCCAAGAAGATATGATGAAGTCCTAGCCTCAAGCACCTATGAATGAGACCTTATTAGGAAATAGGGTCTTTGTAGATGTAATTGGCCAAGATGAGGTCATACTGGAGCAGAATAGGCCCTAACTCCAATGACTGTTGTCCTTATAAGAAGGACATGCGAAGACACAGGGATGCAGCACACAGGGAAGGAGGCTGTGTGATAGCAGAGGCAGACATGGGAGTGATGCATCTATAGGCCAAGGAACACCAAGAACTGCCCAGCGGCCAACAAAAGCCAGGGGAGAGGCATGGACCAGGCTCTCCCTCAGACCCTCCTGAAGGAACCAGACCGGCCAACACCTTGATTTCAGACTTCTTTTCTCCAGAACTGTGAGAGGATACTTTTCTGTTGTTTAAGTCACCAAGTATGTGGTAATTTAGAAAAATAGTACAGTTCTAGAGAAATAGTACAGCCTACCATGAGCCAGACAGAGGAACTCATTTCTGCCCCCAAAGGAGCATCCCAGAAAGGGCAGTTCCATGGGCATGGGCTGTCACAAGGATAAGTGAGATTAGAAGGGAGAGAGAGGCAGCAGACGAGAAGGGGGCCTTTACTATGACTCTTGTGCTTCAGGCTGGGCAGAATCCAAGGTCTTGTGCTAGTCAAGTGCCCCTTTATCTGCTCTCAGACAGGGAGAGGAGACTAATCTGAAAGGCCTTATTCTTTTTCAAACCACGCAGATGATTAGCCAGAACTCTATTTCCTTCATGGTTTTTGCAAATGGATTTTGTGGTGATTTCCCCCCTCCCAGACATTTTGGCAGTGCTGAGGGGAGACGTAAAAGAGCCCATTAACATCAGAATGTGTCACTGGGGACACTGAAATGCTGAGACAGCGAAGAAAAATATCCTTAATTAAAGCAGAAAAAACTAGAGGTTACCTGGGTCTCCAGAATGCTGCAGTGTTGGCAGTCTAATTTCTGGGGCCTTTCCTCAGCTCTTTGAGGGCATACCTTATTTTGTTGGATAAATTCTTCTAGCCTTAAAACCTAAAACAGAAGATAAGAAACATCAGGCAATGAACCAAAGTCTTACCTCTTGGATATGGTCATTAATCTGGGAATCAATTCTCCTGGGCCAGTCTGCTCTGGGGAGATTGCCCCATTAGATAAATTCCACATGTGCTTCTAGAAATGCCTTTTCTAATTAGTTCATTGCTTAGTCTTTCCAGAAGGTGATGAGCCTAGTAGGTTTACAGTATTCCACACTTGCCTTTAAATTATTTACACACATGTTTCTATACTACATGCGTAGGGAGACTTTCATATAATTCCCGAAGGCCACTCAATTTCTAATGAAAAAAAGGTAGTTGCAAAAGATAATGAATAACATTTAAGAACTACACAGATACAAACAAGAGAAGAGGGGTGAGGAGGTGCGATAAAGTGTAAAGGCTTAATTATGATGATGATGATTAACCAATTAATTAATGTATCAATTAAACAGACTGCTTTCCCTCTAGACTTGAGGGGGTGGAGGCCCAAACTCATAAAGGAAACTCAGACTTTGCTAGCAAATCCTTGTAGAGTATTAATACTTGTCAGGTACAGTGCTAAGTATAAGGAAGGAAAGGGAGGGGACAGAGTGAGCACAAGATAGTAGAATAAAAAAATATGGTCCCTGTCTTTAAGAAACTGTCGTTTTATGGGGGAGATAGACAATATGTTTATAACCACAGCAACACTCAGTAGAAGTGTGTACAAAATAACAACAGCATCATTAATGGTAAATTTTCTATGGCCAGCCACAGATCTAAGCCTCTGGCAGTATTAACTCTTTTAATCCTCACAACAACCATTATGAGGTGGGTACTACTGCCCAGAATTTACAGTAATAAACTCTGCCCAGGGGAGTTCAGGCAGTTTTAAGGATGAGTAAGAGTCTGCCAGGTGGGAGAGTGCATCCCAGGATGCAGGAACAGCAGATACAATGGTAGAGGGTGGGTGGTAGTGATGTAAAAACTGAAAAAAGATCCCAGGTTGGGTGAGGGGATGGCAGAGTGAAGGAGCAGAATCTTGGAAGGTAGTGCTGGCAAGTTAGGTTGGGCCAAAATTGTGAAAAACATGTGGACTCAAGATTTTAGGGAAGGAGCAGTGGGGCCTTGAAAAGACTTGGGTTTTAGAACATGTGTTCTGGAATTAGCTGGCCTAGGGCAAATGTGGAAGCTGTGAGGTCCATGATGACACTTTTGTAAGGCTCTAGACAATGTCCAGAGGAACAAGAAGGCCATCAGAACATTCTCTTGGCTTCGCATAGGAGGATTTGGGGGAAGAGATATTTCAAGATTGTAAAACTCCCCTTATATTGCATCTTGCCTAAAGTTTTTTGAAACATATAAAGGAGTCTTGTGCAATGGTTTATGTAACATATATGACAGGTTAAAAAAAAGAGTCAAGGTGAGCTATTCTGGAAATCTTGTCCAAAGCATAGGTGTAGAGAGAAGTGAAGGGACATAAGTGTATGACCCACGGGACTTGACAGGTAATTGGGTGTGATGTTGGGGCAGGGTGGTGACTGTGGGTAGGGATGGGAGAGTCAGTAAATAGGTAGCTAGATGGCAGCACCATTGAGATGGTAGAGGGAATCAAGGGCAAAGGACAAGACTGAGGCTCTTGGTCCATGGTCAACCTCTTAGTCATGACTTGCAATCTATAAACACTCAAGTTCTGAATGATCCTTAGTCATCAAATAGATACAGTCCTGTATTAGTGGAATTGTTAGCATAGTGGTTAGAGGTGGGGTCTTCAGAGCCACATTACCTGGATTTGAATCTCAGACCTGTTACTTGTTAGCTGTGTGACTTTTGGGAAGTGATTTACCTTCTCTGTGCCTCAGTTTCCTCATTTCTCATTTCTCAGTTTTCTCATCTACATGGTAAAGCGGTTGTGAGGATTAGAAGAGTTAGTAGGTGTAAACTGCTGATGTAGTATCTTGACTAGAGCAAGAGTTTCGCAAAGGTTAGCCATTGCTAATTTCTTTCTTTCCTTTTCTTTTCTTTTTTTTTTTTTTGAGTTGGAGTCTTATTCTATGACCCAGGCTGGAGTGCAATGGCACACTCACAGCCACTGCAGCCTCGACCCGCTGGCCTCAGGCGATCCTTCTGCCTCACCCTTCCAAGTAGCTGGAACTACAAGCACGCGACACCACACCTGGGTAATTTTTTGATTTATTGTAGAGATGAGGTCTCACCAAGTTGCCCAGGCTGGTTTCGAATCCGGGAGCTCAGGCAATCCTCTCACCTTGGCCTCCCAAAGTGTTGTGGCCCTAGCCATTACTGTTTTCAAAGAAGATTTCTAAGGGGCATTCACAAGAAATAGTCAGATCAAGGCTCAGGCCTCTGGCTTCAGAAGACTAACTGGGCTGGTATCATATACATATATGAAGCCACCTTAAGTCTTGCAGGGTAGAGTGCTCCAGGTACAATGTGAAGATGGGCAGTACAGCTCAACAGGAAGAAAGGAAGAGCCGTAGGGAGGGAGGAAAGGAAGGAGAGAGGGAGCAAGGACAAAAGGAAGGAGAGAGGAAGAGGCTTCTTTGCTGTGCAGCCCCAGCTTGGTCTGGGCTAGGGCAGAAGCCTCTATTTCAGAGACTTTCACCAAGACCCACCTCTAGATGCTGATACATGAAGTCTAAGGCACAGCATGTCCATCGTTTTTTAAAAAAATAATAATTTCAGAATAGAAAAAGGGTTAAAAAGTACAAATAACATCTGTGACTGCTCACTCAGCTGAAGAAGTAACACATCACAAAATCACTGCTGCAGCCCCTCTCACTTTCTCCCTTCTAGAAATAGCCACTGGTCCAAATTTGATTCTAACATCCTCATGCCTTCTTTGACCTTTTTGAAAGAAATACCTGACAAAAATTAAACCTAACAGAGTTTAATTGAGCAAAGAACGATTCATGAATCAAGCAGCCTGGAACCAGAATAGGTTCAGAGAGGCTCCAGCACAGCCATGTGGTGGAAGATTTATGGACAGAAAAAGTAAAGTGTTGTACAGAAAATGGAAATGAGGTACAAAAACAGCTGGATTGGTTACAGCTCAGCATTTGTCTTATTTGAACCTGGTTGAACAGTTGGCTGCCTTTCATTGGCCAAACCTCAGTGATTGGCACAAGAATCAGTAACAGTCTGTTTTCATATCCAGTTAGGTATCAGTTCATCATGTGAAAGGTCACAGAGAAACCCTAGGTCGAACTTCAAATATGCAAGGAGGCAGCTTTAGCCTAGACTTCATTTAACGACTCGGTGGACATGTATCCTAAACAATCGATGGATGCTGTTTTGCACTTGGCCTTTATGTTCTTAAAAGTTCCCCAGAGGTTATAATGCACGACCGGGGTTGAGGAACTATTCATGGGTTCCTCAGCAGGTAGGGGACACAGGCCTCATCTGGAAGATTTGCGGGAAGGCCGGGGAAGGAAGGAAACCTCTTTACATATTTTGGTTTACTCAGGCTCAGAAATGGCTTTTGGGACCCTGTTTCCAGTCTTTTCCACTAGTTTAAAAAAATTACTTTTCAGGGCCCACAAAAATGTTTTAATTTATCTTAAAATGAGAAAAAAGAACAGTCTGGATTATATTCATCTTTCTATCAACAGAGTCATAAAATATAAATTAAAAAGCATGTTTTTAAATAAAGGAAGGACCTAGAAAGGCAAAAGGACCTAGGGCCCCAAAAAGTGCTAATGCAGCCCTGGAGAAGGAAAAGGTGAGAGAATGGCAGATTCACTGCCTCTGCATTTTAGCTGCAGAATCAACACCAACAACCTCCTGTGTCCTCTTATGTGAGACATTAAAGACCTCTTTGTTTAAGCCTCTCTACATCAGGCTCTCTGCTACTTGCTCCTATGTTTATGCCCCCGAGACAGGCTTCCTGTCTGTTCAAGTGGCCTCTCCTTTCTGAGGATGTAGGAAGGTGGAGGCAGTCTCCCGAGATTCCTGGTCTCTCAGACAGAAACTCCCAGGGGCCAGAACCAGCCCCCCCATGTCTTACATTTAGTCGGGGCTTACCTCCAGCAGAGAGTTCTGGAGCTTCATGTTTAGGGCCTCTTTCTCTTCTTCCAGCTGCTTTATCTCCTTTTCCGATTTCGTCCTCATTTCCTCCAACTGTGCTTCTACTTCCTAAGTGATGAATAGAAAAATTAACCACCCAAGGCACACAAACAAGACATTTATGCATTCATACTCTGCCTTATTTCTAAAGGAGATCAAGGAAGCTTACAAGAGTCATGAAATACTGTGGTTAAACATAAATTAGAAATACCCGAGCAGGTCATAAGACTACAAGAGTTAAAATCACACCACAAAGTCTGATATATATAGGGGTGGGGCAGAGTGGGGTATAACCTTGTCTTTAAATTTTCTAGTGTCAAATAATAAAAGAGAATGCTTTGCTTTGGGAGGCAGAGGCAGGAGGGTTGCTTGAGGCTAGGAGTTCGAGACCAGACCGGTCAACATACTATGTATACTATGTGAGATGCTGTCTGTACCAAAAAAAAAAAAAAAAAGACAGAAATAAAGGAAAAAAAAAAAAGAAATGACTCATTACTGACAAAATTTTCAGTGTTTTCCAGTGACTCATAAATTAAAAAGCCAACCACGTTTTTGGATACAGGGAAATATTTTTAAAATATTTCTCCTTCTCAACAGTATCCAAACAGTAGGCAAAATGATGGGGTTCACAATGTTGATTCCTCCCTGTTTCCTCATCATAGCCCTTGAGCCTCGGTACAAAGCAGAACCAGCTGAAGAAGTGTTTTGAAGACCACATGAGTGGTGTAGCCATCTATGTCATCCTGAGCACATTTCCTTTTTTATTTTTAAATTTATTGTATTTTGAAGATGTGAAGTCCAATTCAGGATTAGGTATACAAGTGGTCATCGTACAAGCAAAGTTTGGGCCTCCCTTTGGTTCCCACTTTCCCTGGTTGGAGATTAGGTGCCCTTATTCATGTCCTGTGCCCTCCTCCTCCCTCCCCTGGCAGTTTCTGGCTACTGCCAATCCCTTTCTTATAGTATTACGGTAAATGTTCAGGGTCCACTTATGAGTGAGAACATATGGCACTCAGTTCTTTGTTTCTGGAACATATTTCCTAATCCTCTGTGACTCATGGTTCTACTCACATACTTAGAATTGTTCCAGGTACATAGTAAAGGCTCAATAAATGATAAGTACTACTATTATTCTTAGAGAGGGCTGGCCTTTCTGATCTAGCTTAATTTCTGGGGAAACTGTGCACGTATCTAGAGGAGTGGATGAAACAGTCTGTCCATCTTAGCTGAACTTTAGTAGATATTGTGTCATCTATTTGTTCTAATATTTATTGAGATCTACCATCTGCCGAGCACAGTCCTCAGAGCTGAGAAGACAAAAGGGCAAAATTCCTACACACCAGGCATGAGAAAGACAGGCAACAGTTAAAGTCAATATGTGGGCAATACAGTTAACATGACAGAGAAATAAACAAATAAGACATGGGCTCTATGGTGTTAGGGAAGAGTTGAAATTTTAGGTAATTTGGGCTAGAGAAGCCCTTCAGAGAAAGTAACTTTTGAGTAAAAACCTGTATTAAGTGAGGGGACTCACCAAGGAAAAGTCTGGGACTTTTACAGCCTTCCAGGACCTGTAAAGTTCCTGGCGTGTTCTAAGGACCAAGAGGAGCCAGTGTGGGTGGACTAGGTTACATGAGAGACACATCATCTACGGCTTCATACATCAAGGTAGGACATACCAGTGAGATGAAGGACACTTAACAGTTGGGCAGAGAAGTGACATGGTTCAAACTGTGTTTTGAAAAACTCACTACTGGCTTCTATTGTGAGGACAGACTGGTGACAGGGTGGGATTAGAGGGGCTGCAGGAAGGCCCAGGAGGAAACTGCAGTAGAAACTGGGGCAAGAGCAGTGGCAGCTGGGTCTCTAGCAGCAGTAAGAGGAAGATGATGGGGGAGTGGTAGAAATATGTGGAATGTTGACTTGCTGAAAAGAGGGGTCAGGATGGCACATGGGGGTTTCTGACCTGAGCAAGGGAGGATGGTGCTGCTGTGGATTGAGTGGGGAAAGACAGAAAGAGAAGGCTTGGGACTGTCTAAGGAGCTTGTTTGCACATGTTGAGTTGAGACATCTGTTAGACATCTAAGCAAACAGGGATACAATGTTTGGAATTCAGGGGAGATTTCTCAGTTGGAGGTATTCATATGGGAGTCATTCACATACAGAATGTGTTTAGATGAGAAATGCTAGAGAAAGAATATAAAAGAAACACAAGATGTTCAAGAACTGAGCCCTGGGACACTCCAACATTCATAAAAATTTAAAGTTATAGTATCTGACAGATATTTAGAGAGCAGATCTTCTGGACTATCAGTTGATTATGGTCTAACAGGCATGATAACAGTAGTGGATGGTTACCAAGTATGTGCCGTTTGCTGGACACTTTACACAGACCATCCTTTTGATCTTTGTGAAGAAAGCCCTATGGCTTGGCACTATCATTAAGGTTTATTGTATAGATGAAGAAATGTAGTTTAAGGAGGTTAAATGCTTTGGGTCATGTAGTCAGTAAGTGGAAAAGTCAAGACATGAGCTTGGGAAAGACTGACTGCTTGGCTATGCTTCTTAGAACCCTGCCTTCTTAAGAAAGATGCAGCACCTAGTAAAAAATAAATACCTCACTAAAAGGTTTTCTGATCTCTGCTGCAGAGAAACTAAGGTAGTCTCTGTGGGCAGGCACTAGGTGCTCCCCAAAACAAGGAGGAGAAGTTACATGACCTGGAGCCCTGTTCTGTTTCAGAGGCGCGAGGGGCACTTGAGCTGGAATACAGGAACAAGTGGGGCAAAGGGCTTGTGTACCTGGGACTGATCTGAGGTCAAACAGAAACCTGTCATTCATTCACTCATTCAACTAGCCAATATTAACTGAACATCTACCATATGCCAATTGCCATGATAAGGGGACAGGGATGAAACCATCAAGAGAGCAGGGAGACAACCCACAGAATGGGAAAAAAATATTTGCCAACTGTATATCTGACAAAGGCCTAACATCTAGGATCTACAAGGAACTCAAATGTGCCAAAAGGAAAAAAACTAAGAGCTCCATTCAAAAGTGAGCAAAAGACATGAATAGACACTTCTCAAAAGAAGATGTATGGGCAGCCAACAGACACATGAAAAAGAGCTTAGCCTCACTTATCATCAGAGAAATGCAAATCAAAAGCACACTGAGATACCACCTAACCCCAGTAAGAATGGCCATCATTAATAAGACAAACAACAACAGATGCCGGCAAGGATGCAGAGAAAAGGGAACACTTCTATACTGCTGGTGGGAATACAAACTAGTGCAACCTCTTTGGAAAACACTAGAAATTGACCTTCCATATGACCCACCAATCCCCCTTCTGGAAATATACCTGGAGGAACTCAAATCATTCTACAAAAAAGATACCTGCACACGTATGTGTGTTGCAGCTCTATTCACAATAGCAAAAACACGGAACCAACCGTGTTGCCCACCGAAGCTGGACTGGATTAAAAAAATGTGGTACATATACACAATGGAATGTTATGCAGCCATAAAGAAGGACAAACATATGGACTTCTCAGCAACTTAGATGGATTTAGAGTTGATCATACTCAGTGCTATCACAGAAACAAAGAACAGAGTACCATATGTTCTCACTCATAAGCGAAACTTGAACAATTGTAATACTATAATAAAGGCATTGGCAGTAGTGGGAAACTGTCTGGGGAGTGGGGGTGGGATTGGCAGTTGAGGGATTCTGATAGGGTAGGGAGGGGCATACCTCATCAACAAGGGTACCTGCATAATCAACATTTGTATACCTAACCCAGAATCGTACCCCACATCTTTATAATAAAAAAGACCAAAAAAAGGGGATAGGGATATAGTCAGTGTGGTTGGTAGATGTTTAACAACTGATTTTCCCCCAAAATAAAAAAAATGGATTGATAGCATTTGTTGGTTTCTAGGTATAAATACTCCTACTGTGGCCAATGTCAAGTTACTACAGTAATGTCACTGAACACAGAGTTGGGAAGAGGTGTGACAATTGCCTCTCATGAGCTGGTAGGGGCTGACTCCAACACACCACTGGATGTAGCAGTGAACAAGGCAGCCCACTGAGGAAAGCATACAGTGAATAGACACTTACAATGCCATGTTACAGTAAAAGCTGTGCTAATGTAGGTACGGGGTGCCATATCAGACAATGATATCACTAGACTGGGCAGGAAAGACTTGTGGGAAGACCCATATTTAAACTGGGACCAAAAGGATCAGTAAGAACTGGACAGAACTAGACAGGTGAATTTGGGAGTAGGGAGAAAAATGTTCTTCATCAAGGCAAAGAACATGGGATGAATGCTGAACTAAAAGGCTGGAGGGCAAAGTTGGACCAGGAAAGATGTGGGATGAAGCCAGAGGGGTACACAGGAGTCTACTTCTGTAGGATACTAACAATCATGTTAAGGAATTGGAAGACAATAGGGAGTGGTTAGCGAGTTTGGAACCAAGGGTGAGTTTTCAGAAGATTCCACTGGAACGAAGATTACATTACATGAAATGAGGAGAATGGAGACAGGGGAGTCATCACATGGTCCGTCAGGAAATAGTGGTTGACTGGATCAGTGTGGTACCATTGAGTACTGAGGGAAGTGGAGACAGTTCAAGGCCATCTGTGTAGAGTTAACAGATTTGATGTTTGATTGAATATGAGGGGGTGAGAAATAATTCATTTTGACTCCTGGGTTTCGACTTGAGAGTATCTAAAAGGATGCTGCCGCTGTTTGTCTGCATGACACCTTTGCACTTTCCATAGGGCTGATCCCAGGCCAGCCCAGTGGCCCTAGGGTAGCCCTTAGCATTGTCTTTGGGAAAAGAGTGATAAGATTTGACTGTAAGTGTACATGACCTGAACATTTAGCATGTGTGTAGTCTCTGTTCAATAAATCTATGATCCTCTTTTGCAGAGCTTGCTGTTTTGGAGAGTTCATTTTCAAAAAAATATGTAAATTATCCCTTTGTTCCAAACAAACTGGAATAGCTTAAGCAACCATCAGCAGCAAGGCCATCCCCTCAGCAAGATTCTGATGTTTTA